CTGAAGATGTTTAAAAGAATCCAGCAGTCAGCAGCTGCAAACCTGAGCATGAGGGGACTCTTTCCTGCTGCAGGACTTACGAGTTTGCCGTGTTTTCTTTGCAGGGTCTCGGTGTGTCTGGTGGGAGTCAGGCTGGCCTGGGCACTGCTTCCCCCAGGCAGTATCCACGACAGAAAATAACACGTGTAAACCTCAGGGACTTCATCTTCTACATGGAACAGGAACGAGAAATGAGCCATTCTCTCCTGCTCTATCGAGCTCTGCTTAAATAAAGCCAACAGTTGTACTGATTGCTCCATACAGAAGCTCAACCTGCATTGAAAGCTGTCATTTTAATGTGCCTTCTATTTTTTTCAGAAGTCAATGTTCCAGTAATTTTGTTTTGTAAAATTGTCAGACACATGCAATAAATTTCCTTTATGTAAAAAAAAAAAGATATAAAAACCACCAAAAAAAAAAAGTGCAAAAGGTTTTAAAATGTTAACTCCGCAGATATAACCAACATCCAAGTCTTGCTCCATTTGGCCATTTTAGGTAAGGCTGAAGTAGCTGGTGTTGCAGTCACACAAATGCAAGGCTGCTGCAATGGCTCACCTAAAGCATCTCCTGGCCAGGACTGGGACAGGTCACAGGACTGGGCCCACCCTGGTGTTCTGTGTGTTCACCTGCGGGGCTGGGCTGGGCTTTCCTTCTTCGTTTACTGGCGCTGTCTCACTAACCATGGTCATACCTGGTGTTGTTTTAGCTTAGTTATAACGGCAGTTTTTTGCACAGCCAAGAGACTAGCACACTCTCACAAATTCTATATATTTGGGATTTTTGCTTTTACTGCACAGCTCATTTCCTGAGCCATTTGCTGAACCAAATCCTAAGTGTATGAAGTCTGTGTGCTTGGGTCTCAGCTGAGTTACCCTGACTAGCTTCCAGTTGTTTTCTAAACCCCTTCAACCTTTTGTGCATTTGTAGCAGCTGGTTAGTAACATGATTCAAAGTTGGGTTTTATTTTCTAAAAGATGTTAATTTATTTATTGCAAAGAGTATGGTTTAATGGTGGTTTTAAAAAAAAGAGAGTATTGTTCAGTAAAGATTTTTAGAGTATTCTATATGGATTTTTAAAGCCGCTCCAAAGGTTTTTGGAGGTCGGTTCCACTCTGGGACTGGTGAGAATCCCGGTGCCACCAGGGGTGGCGATGCCTTGGATTCCAGTCCCAGGAGGCTCATGAACAGGCTTTAAGCATAAGGAGTAGTTGTAAGTAGCTAAAAGGTGGGAGGAATGCTTTTTAAATGCTTTGCTGAAGCGGAATTCTGGGCCCACACCAAAGCCGAGCGAGGTCAGTGTGAGTCTTTAAATGGGGATCTGAGAGGAGCAGTCACAGGCAGGTGGGCACAAGTTGTATTTCAGACTTTAACAGTGTTACCAGTCACCACGGAAGGGAGACATTTGCTTATTTATCTTTTCCATTTTTACTATGTTATGCTTGCCACTTTTTTGAGGCAATATTTTTTTTTTGATGGGAAACCATAGCAAAAGCACAAATAGAACTATTTGTCCAATAGTTTTAAAAACAAAGGTTTTAATTATTTTTTAAGGTTTATGAAAAGCAGAAGAAAATTTATACTGCTGCTATTTAGCCAAAAGATTATTCATAAGGTATTTAAGGCCAGGAAGTGTAAAGTTATGTTTTAAATGTATTGATAATTTGTACATATAGTTTATAAAGGCCTTGTGTTTATTAGAGTTACGTTATTTTGATGATTTCTGTACATACTCGTAAATACCCCCAATTTGTGTGAAAACATACTCCCTTATTTGTACTTATTTTGTAAAGAAATAAAACAATTTACTAAAGTAACACATCGAGTGACATACAGTATTAATTTATCAAACATGAATTTCACATTGTCTCGTAGCTCTTAAGCACTGGTCAGAAAACATTTTGCATCAAAATATTAACAGAATACCCACAAAGAAATATTAAAACCCAAATACTTCAATGTTTTGTTGTGCTGATTCTTATCCTTTGTGAAACATCTAATAAAATTGTCAACAAACCTCGATGCCATTAATGCAGAGAATGGATGCACTCAGCAGTTGCTTTCGCGGGGAGCGACGAGCCCAATAAGCACAACAGAACATTCTCCTTCCCTTTCTGCCTGCGCTGGGAGCGCGGGGCTGACGCAGCCCTGCACAGAAAGTGCTGGGGAGGGCTCGGGTTTGTGGGGCCACGGGGTCAGTGCTCGGCAACAGCGAATCAGAACAGTTTGGTTCAATCGAATTAGGCGAAAAACCAGGCTCTGCTTCTTGGCCTCGGCAGCAGAAACATCTGCTGGCTGCACACGGGGCCTCGCTGGAGTGGCCGTGGCATTTTGAAACCTCTCTTAGCCAAGCTGAGCAATGTTCCTCATTAAGTTACGTTGCTATGGTTTAAGGCCAGAAGTAAAAATTCAAATCAGTTTTCTCATTGATATTGCTGCCTAAAAATACAGGGAAATAAGTAAAAAAGATATAAATGAAACTGTAATAATCTTTAAATAAGTGACCTGAAGTTACTAACTAAAAGAACATGTCCTAGCTTTTTTTTTTTTTTAAAGGCATTTTTCTTCTAAGAAAGTGATTGTTTCCACATGTCTTCCTTGCCTTGGTGCTATTTTGCAGTCAATGCTGTGATGTCATGGTTCAAACTTTCCGTCTCAATTTCACATTTAACTCGGCTGGTGCAGCCTGGAACCCTTTCCAGTGCCACCTCAGCAAAGCTGCCCCAAGTACTGGAGCTGCTTCATTGAGCCATAAAAAAACCACGGTAAACACCAAACCGAGGAAAAACCAACCACAAATACTTCCAACGTCCTACACGTGTCCAGAAGCATCATCCCCCTCGGTGCCCGTGAGAGCTGCCCACGGGTGCTCAGCGCCCGGTCCTGCGGGCAGAGAGCCCTGTGGAGCTGGGCAGGCCTGGCCGAGCACCGGGGGCAGGATTGGGCCCCTGTGATCAAATGTCCCCAGGAGGGGTCCCCTTTGCTCCCTGGCTGAGGTAAGAACAGGAGGGGATGCGCTGCCAGAGCCGCCGCGAGTGCCACTCACCCTGGTCAGGGGGGCAGGGTGGATACAGGAAAAACAGGAACCTGAACAGATTAGTTAAGGATACTTTGGACTGAAAGGTAACTCAATGTATGAAAGTAATAAATAAAAAGACTTTTTTTCCTTTCTGTGAGACATGGCTACATCAAGCTGAATGGAGCTAAAGGCTGGAGAAGACGCAATCAAAAATTCTCACCTCTTTCAAACAACATGGGAGATACAGTGAGTGTTCCACCCTACGTGCTTATTTTTGTTCGTTTACTTTACAGAAATGTTTATGGCATGAAGTACTGTATAAGAAATGTGCATACACAAATACATGACAATTATACGTTAAGTTCTTTACAATATTAAATGTATAATATACAATTCTACAGATATCTTACATACAAAGGTGAATGTTGTGCCATATATTCAAATATGGCAATGCCTAGCGACTTTAGAATGTCGTACAAGTATAAAACCACAAAATAAAATAACTTTACAACTCTTAAAGTAGACAGATTTGCTCAACTGTTCTGCTAAGGTAGCAGGCCAACCGGCCAGGATTGCCATTAGAGATTTCTGAGTTGGGTGACCAAGGTGAGAAAACCTGCAGAGGTCTGATTTTCCATGGACAGGTATCCAGCCCTTTTCCAAAAATTAGACCCCTGCCTAGATTGTTCCTTGGATAGTCAGTACAGCTCATCGCTTTTGAAAATATTAGTCTTAAATGTGACTTTTGCCTGATTGCAACCAATTGGCACTGAAGAACTGTCGACCACCTAATGCTCTCTCCCTTGTTCTATATGGCCGTATTTAGGCATCTAATTAAGATTCAGCATCTACAACAGTATTCTATAAATTAATGTGGGAGAAACTAAATTGTGATTAACACATGAATTAGTTATTGAGGACCCAATCATGCTGAACAGCAACAAACAGGATCTCGCAGAATGCTATTTATAACCTCGCACCTGCGGACACGGCGCTGTCTCCTGAGTTAGGGAGCCCTGTGAGTCGATGCCGATTCCTGGCAGTAGCAGGACCCTCCTGCAGACCCCTGACTTCGTTACAGAGAAAGGGACACAGATAGAGGGCGGCTACAGAACTAATATTTTAATAATAATTTAAATTAATAAAACAATTTAAACCAAAGGCGGCCTGCTTTCATCCGGCAGTGGCAGTACAGGGTTTTAACAGCTCTTTGCAAGAATTCCAGACCCATAAAGAGTTAGGCCTGTCCAAAATTCTTACACTTTCCTCCTAAATGTGGGCTTCTAACATGGTTAGTAAATGATTAACGAGGGGTGGCAGAGCTTGCTTGGCAGAACCACGTTTCTTTGATGATGCAAAACTTAAACAGTTTCTGTGTCAAAACAAGACTGGCTTTAAGAGAGCTACAGCTCCATGTCGGGTATGTGACCCTTGTGTGATGGTGGATGGCATTTCATTTTGTGCTTCCAGATCCCTACTGTTGCAAATATTGCCATAATCGGCCTTGTCTAACTTTTTGTCACTTTTTTTGTTTGGTTTGGGTGGGGTTTTTAGTACTGAGCACCAGTTGACTATAAATCGGTCCTTTTCTGATTCTGGATCCTGTCCACAGAGAGAGACTTCGGTTGGAAATGTAGTATAAAAATAAGCCATTTGCTATTGTGGGTGAGTACAATCACAGAGGTGCCCCGTGGTGCCTGGAGGTGTAAAGCACGTCTGATATGGAGGTGTGGCAGTCAGGGAAGAGTCTCAGTGCAGTTTTTAGCGTTCCATCTTCCTCTCACAGACGTCCACGTGTCACAGCACTGGGGTGTCCTCGGGAAGGCTGGCAGAACCACAGCTCCTGCTGATCCATCCGACTGCTTCAACTGGTCTTTGCAGAAGTCCAGTGCAGTGCAGGGTCAGGGGGTTACGAAGCTTTTCCTGTTCCACAGCACTGCTGTTGAGCCCAAAGTCCATCCCGGAGACCTGCTGTGCTCAGCGCGCTCGGGAACTCCACCGTGACGAACGGACAACTGGCTTCTCAAATGCATTTCGTGGCTGGCTATGTGACAGGTAGTTTCAGAATACCACTAATTGGCAACATAAAGTCAAAGTCTGTTTGCTAATACTGTTTTGCAAATCCTTAGTGTTTCACATAAGGGACTATTAAACACTTCTACGGTTACAAAGGGGGTACAGGGAGGGTCTAGTCCAGGGGCTCCTGTTTTATTCTGATTGTTGGGGTGGGTTGTGGTCGTCTGTCTTCGCGGCACAGCACGTATTCACTGAACTGAGAGGAATCCACCCCACCACCACAGGAAGCTGCCACGTTAAATCCCTTCTGAAATAATCTTTCGAGCACCTGCAATGTGGGGGGGAAAAAATCAGATTAATATTTAGCAAATTTTAGTGATAAAAGCAGTCGGAAGCACCAGATCTAAATGATGGATTTAGTCTTTCCAGTCCTCATTGTGAATGAATATTATTCAGCTATAATTCTATAACTTATTGTTAAATGACTATACTGTGATTAAAGTCTCGCTCTCAGCAAACCTCTGTAGAAAACAAAAATTAATCAAAGAAATAAGCACTCTGCAGAGTAGCTTAGTACATTATATAGTAAAATACTGGACTGTGGTGATATTGATGCTATCTCTTACTGCTTATAGAAAGCAACATCAGGTTTAAGTTGTAATAAAAAGTGCCCATTATTCATTAGTAATAGGAACAATCTTACAGAGAGGGCCTGAAAAGCTCTTCCTTGGCAGATGAAAATGTATCAAGAGCCTGAATGACACATCCACCAGATTTTCCTGGCAATGGCAGCTGTTCTCCCTCACTGGAAGGGAGGGCTGCTGGTAGCAAAGCATGGCAGGGATGGGACGCAGAGCCAAGACGTGGACAATAGGGAAATGTTCTGGCCCAAGAAAGAGGTTAATCTGTATTGCCCAAATATGTATTTTTTCTTTCTCCTCCTAAAGAAAAGTTGGTGCAATTTAGATGCATGAATTTAAGGAACCCAGAGGCAACTTTAATTTCTGCGACTGTCACACAGCACATTACCCCAGGACATGCTGATCTTGGCAGTGGGATCGGGGCCGTGTTTTCACATGCGTGAGCGTGTTGATATTCGGTTTCCCAGCAGAGCAGGACGCACACAGGCTTCTCCCAGAGTTAGGTGAGAGCAGATGCCAGATCCTCCTTCGGCAGATCTGCAGTGCAGGACCCACCAGAGGAGAGACGCCGTGGTGCTTCCCGAGCCCAGGGCAGCAGCCTGGATGAGCAGTTCCTGGGGTATTCTGTGTGATAGATGCTGTCAAGGGGAGCAGCCTGTGCTGTTCTCCAGGGGCCTCACCCAAGGTACTGCTTCCATTGCTGCAGCACGTGGGAAGTGAACTGGTAGTTTACTGAACCTGACGGCCTTGGCCACGCCAGCATCCCCATGTGACAGCCACCCTCAGCAACAGGGACCAAGCCACTCGTTCACTCAGCCTAGAGAGGTGTCTAAGCAATATACCCACCTTCAGCCCACTTTCATGGGCACAGGTTGTAGAAAGAATTTAATTTCTTTTTCAGTTCCACCGGCCCCCTGAGCACACCAGCAGTTACACTGACTTTGGAGACTGTGCTCCAGACCACTGCCCTCACCCTCACACACAGACCCACGTGAGGCCGCAGTGCATTTCTTAGTGCAAAGCCTGAATGTTGGCTTTGTTTTTTCCAGGAACATGATTTCAGAAGAACAGCTGTGTCTGAGGTGGTGTGGCAGTGCAGTGCAAACCACGGCAGCAGCATTTGCTGGCTTTCATCTGTTCAATCCCTCCTTAGAGGCCGCCTGTGCTAACCATCTGCACCCAACCCAGGGTTTGGGTTTTCAGTGGTAACTAAAACATTTTACTTTTGCTCCCCTGGCTGCTAAGGACGGGCAAAGGAAAGAAGCTGCTCCAGCACAGCTCTGCCTGAGCCACGCCGAGTGTGCTGGAAATCAGCTTGCCTGAGGAGCTCTGCCTGGCCTTGGGACACGGAGACTTAAAGTTCTCAGAAAGTCACATCTGCCAAATCTCCCTGACTTTTGCCCTGATTTTTACATACTCTACACAGTAAAAAAGTTGTAGAACTGAAAGATCAAAAACCCACACCAGAGTATGGAAGAATAATGAACTGGGAGAGATGAAAAGAAGGGGCAGGAGAGTGGGTTATCAAAATACATTTAAAAGAGAGAGAGAAAGCTTTCATCTCCTTTATTTGTCCAGGCTGTGTGGGCTCTGTAGGACAGAAATGGGGTGCAGACACTGACACTTGTTCCTCCTTGGAGAGGAAGGCAGGAGGAGTCTGAGATGGAAGGAGGAATAAGACATCAGCAGGCTGGGAGTGTATTTTGAGTGTATTATGTATCACTGCTCCTAGCCCTGGCAAGATGAAGATGAGAGACAACCCAGCCACGGGAAAGGAGGCTTCTCCCACTGAACTGGATAGTGGAACAGAGGATTGACAGCTAAGATTTCTGAGAGAGACGGGACTTCAAAATCCTTGCTAAAAACTTTTAAAAATCAATTTGCTTGTAAGACAAAACAAGCACGGGGGTGCCCTTGGCTTGCCTCAGACCAAAGCTATGGAAGGCTGCATGTTAACATAGAATTCTTTTTCCCTGAGCCTGCTCTCTGCACACACACTGTCCAGGTAGACATTACACCTCAGAGCACCGCGCCGAACAAAGCGATTCGTTCGTGCTCGGTACGTGCTGGAAGGGCCACACTGCAGGCCACTATCCAGGGTTAAAAACCTTGGCATCATCAGTTTTCTCAGCACGAAACAAAACAGGCCAAACCCTGTAAACAATGCAGAGATTGTTTAAATATTGCAGAGTTTTAAGTGTCACTTGGATGAGGCTGAGCTCAGGTCGGAGAGCGAGGCTCCTGCAGGGCTGCCCTGGGTGCTGGGCCCTGGTTTGCACACACTGGCACGTGCACGAGAGTCAACAGCATTTTGAACGTGGACAGGTTTGAATTCCACTTAAGAGAATTTGACTCTATGCACATCACTTCTTCTGAAAGTAAGATATGGACAGGGGAAAGAGTAACCATCTCTGAAATCAAATCAGAGCTACATTCCCGAAAATCTCCAAAGAGAATATGCCAGAGGTGAGTCTCAGCTGTGACTCTCCTGTGTGGGGGGGACACAGAGTAATAAATATAAAGGATTTGTGCTAGGATTTCATATACGCTGTCTTCCAATATTCCAAGTGCATCTGATTTTGTTGGAAGGTTTTCCAAAGGGAAACATGATCCTTTCCCTTCATTTTATGTAAATTTTGCAGAATACTAACAAACACATTCCTAATTATGAGACTCAATGTTCAACATACACAAGCATCACAGAATTTTCTCCAAGGTAAACTCATGATTCTCACCAGAACCTGTTGCAAGGAGTTGAAAAAACCTCTATACATTTATATAATTACAAAGGGGTGTAAAATTAAGTTACTGTATTTTTTTGCCTACCACTACCTATTCAGTGTTGACATTTTTTGTTCTATAGGCACAGTTCTTGATACAAATAAAAATATTCTTAAAATATGATAAGAAAATGTATAAAAAGTGCAATTCTGCTACCAAATACATTCAGCAGGGCACAGGGAGACAGAAGAGATGTATCTCAGCAAACAGCAGACAGGCTTCCTGTGTTGCTCTTTAGGAGTCTTTGGAAGCAATTGTGCTCTTCCACCTACTACCCATCTCCCTTAAGTTTGTGCATGTGCTTCACTGTATTTCCAACTTCTGACTTAATATTGTTTTGTAAAAAAATCCTGGGAAGGGGAAGAGCAGTGCCTGTGCACTGACCAGAGTTCATCAGAGCCAATGATAATTAGCTGCTGATTTCATCAGCCTTTGGTCTCAGAAATGCATAGTTTTCCAGAAAGTGTTTGAAAACACTTTCTATTAATTATATAGTAAAATGATGTAATTTAGTAAAATGATGTAATTTAATAGTATTACTTATACTGCAGACTCTTTGACAGAGATTTTTCTTTACAAGGTGAACTCTTTGATTCTGACTGAATTTTGACTGAATTCAAAACACATTCAAATAATAACAGTAATTAGTGTACAGCTTTTCCTACAAGCACACGTACCCTCCTAGTTCCACTGCTGTGGATAAAAGAGGGCCATGCTAAGCCGTGTGGGCACCCAGTGCCTTGCCAGGCCGCTGGCAGTGCTGAGCTGGTGAGTGGCTCACAGGGACCCTTTGTTGTTGCAGTTATTCTGATTCCTCGTGTGCATCTAACTGGATCACAGGGACAGCGTGGCTCAGACACAAATGCTCTTCCCTCTCCACCTACCTGAGCTAAACTGCAGCTGCTCCCTCACCCCCCAGCACGGGGATGAACTCGCCCCTGTCCCACTGCCAGAGCACAGGGCTGCCTCTCACCACCCCCTGGTTTGGGGGCAGCCCACTCCAAACCTTGCCAGACATCAAACTGCTCAGGACTGTGCAGAATTAACCACAGGCTGTTAAAAGTTCAACCAAATACACCACTTGGGAGACTTGAACCAAAAATCATCCAAAACAGCTGGGTTTAGGAGGGTTTCAGACAACAGTGTCAGTGCACAGTGCATCAGGGAATGCTGCCCCATGGAGGGGGTGTCACCATCAAATTCAGGGTGTTAAAACAACTCCATACATCTTAACATATTCAGGTAACTACAGGTCTCCTGAAAACGTTGTCACCTGGCAGCTTGGGAGGTGGAAGGCCCCTCAGCTGATGTGTAATAACCACACAGGTAGGCAGAACCTCTGGGTTCTTGTCCTCCCTGGCTGTTGCACCTCCCTCCCCATCCACCCTGGCCAGGCTGGGCCATGGGCTCTTCTGCAGCTATTTGCCCACAGGGGAGTTTATCAAGACCACAAAGGCATTTCCCACAGCCCAGTTCACACCTGCAGCCACAGCCCACCTGCAGGGGATGGTATGTTTGGAAATATTCCCCTACAGGTTGATTTCCCTTTCCCGTAACACAAGTATTTGCAGCTTGTTCCAAAGGCAGACACAAACTAAGAGCTCTGTCTTGCCCTTGTTAATTAAGGCACAAGTTAATGGCATCATCACCCCTGTTCCTCTCCACAGCCCCAGGACAGCCACACCAGGAGCTCTGGCTGTTGTGGTGATGATCCCTGTGAAATGGCACTGCTTGTCCCTCAGGCAGCTGCCTAAACACAGGCCACGTATTTATTTCTGCTGCCATCCACCTATCTGTCCAGTTATCTTCTTTTGTTTCATATGTTTAATTTTAAACCTAACGTCAAAACTCTGAGTATAAAATGAAATACATTTTGTTTAAAATACTCTGGGCAATTTTTATAGAACATCCTTTTGAAAAAAAAAAAAGTGCAGAGATCAATTTTTTTAAGTCCATCCCGCAGGCACCATCATTTAATTATGAGTGAGACATAAATTATGCATTTACACATTGTTGCATTTTCTATAAAATGGTGTGGAGATTTTTTTTTGTAGTTTTTGGAACTCTCTCTTTCTTCCTGCAGGCACTTTGGAGGAAAAAAAAAAACTGCTGAAGGCTATACATTGATGAAAAAATTAGCATTTATCAGTATAACACCATTATGAGACCAGCATGGCACTAACATACACAAAATCTAAATCTATTTTTCTGCTTAGACTTAGGAAAACCTGAAAGACTGTGATCTCACCAGGCAGAAAATGTCTCCTTGCAGTATAAGCACTGAAAGTAATTGGGCAGAAGCAAATAATTTGCATATAATTGAACAAGACATAATAAAAAAACCACCCCAGCAAATGGATGAGCCAGCACCAAAAGGCCATTCGTTACCTGCACTGAGTTCAACCGGCAGTATCCGTTCAAGGGAAACCTGATAACGTGGGTTGGGTCCTGGTTCCAGCCTGCATTTACAGAGTTGCACATGACATCCCCAGTCTCTGGGAAGATCTCTTCTATTAAAGCCTTCTCCCCACTCAATGCAATTCTCTCCCCCAGATCTGGAGTCACTCTTACAACCAAGCAGTCACAAGGCTGGAAATGTTTCCTTTGTTCTTTCTCTTGTTTCCATCGCTCAAGTTCCTTAATCATTGGCTGCAGCTGGTAATACTTTGCTTCTTCATATAAAAGATTAAAGTCCTGGGAGGAAAAAAAAAAGAAAAGAGAGGGAGAGAGAGAAACTAGAAATGCTTATAGTTCTCTTTTAAAAATGAGTATTGTTCCTGTTTGACCTACTTAGGCTTATGTACTGTCAGCAAGAGCGCAAAGGCAACAGGTATCCACATATCTTCATCTTACACCTACACAGAAAACCACATGGTGTTAGTGTTGAATCTATTTGAGCTGACCATGAAGTTCCCATTGCACTGAATTATCCTTTCATTTATTATCCCACAAGCTCAATGCCAGAAGGCTTTAGTCTTGGATTAAGAAATCAAAATAGCTGGTTGCAATAAACAAAGCCTACTGATGTAAGAGAAGATGTTCCAAGCCCTAATCTTCAGTCTTGGCCTCAGATACTTCTGATCTTACAACAGATCTCAGGCTTCGCTGTCGCCTCTCACACATGTTACGAGATGGAGATGTCAGTTCAGCTTCACTTCTCACCTGTCTTTGCTGAGGCTGAAATTCAGCTACAGCAGCTCAGCTGCTCCCTGCATTTCATGACTATTCATGTATTTAAAGCATACTTTGGAGCCTGGTAAATTATATGGAGGGAGTGACCATCCCGCTGGCTGGGAGCTCAGCTGTGCACTCCAACAGCTTAAAAGAAGCTGTTCTTCCCTGCCATTTGTCCATCACCTCACTTCGGCTTTGGGCAATTCAAATTCCCAATTTGATCCAGTTCCCAGTTCAGTGACTGAGATATCTGCTGCACATCCTTTCATCAGGTTTCTGACACATCTTTCCACCTCAGCCATGTGAGAGTACATGGAGGCAAAGGGTGTCAGCACCCCCCAACCCCAGGAGGGAGCAGTGCCCACCAGGCCAAGCCTGAGAAGGAGGAGAAGGAGACACTCCCACTGAGCACTCTGCTTACACTGGCCCCAGCACCTCCTTCAGCCTCCTGAGGGGAAGAGGAGTAACAAGAGCACGGCATCAGCTCCTCCCTGCAAAGACCTGCTGTTTGCTTTCCTGGTTCTTGCACCTCTTTAAAGATGCAAATGCTGCACCCCAGGTAAGATAGTACCTGACTTTTGTGGAACACCTGGAACAAAGGCCGGTTCCACACCAGTGAAATGAAACAAAAAAATCCCAAGAGTGAAATGACTGGAATCATTTGGACTGGAAAGAATGGTATGACAAGGAATAATCAAGAAATGAGCACTCAAATTCCATGAAAAATAACGGGTGTGCTGCTGCCCAGGGACTCAGGGAAGAGGGGGAATCAAGTGAACACGCAGCACAAAAAGGTGCGACTCTTCAGAGTGGTTTGGAATTAACCTGTAAAATCTGCTGCTGCAGGGTATTACTGAACCAAAGCAGTTAGCTCTGTTCAAATTTGGCACCACAGACCCACCACCGTTAGCTGAGGTGCTCCCTCACCCCAGGGCTGCCTGCAGCCTGGAGACGTATGAATATTCACAGTGACAGCGGCAAGGTTATCGCCTTACAAAAGGGACATCCAATGCTTTACATCTCTTTGATGTCTGTTAAGGCTGGGACAATGCACACACTGCTAAGGGAGGGGAAAAAAAGACCAGAGCAGAGAGGAAGAGGGATAAGAGCAAGTGGGAAGAAATGAGGGCAACAAACACACTCACGGGACACAGCTTGAAGATGAAAAACAACAGGAAGATTAAAGAAGAAATCGTACAGAAGGCATGCTGCAAACAACCAGCGCTGGGAACAGGCCAGGCAAAGAGCTGGGCACTGGCTGCACTACCTTCTCTCAGGTAAGAGAGCATCAGCCCCAAAGCCTCTGGAAGGTATTCTCACCCTTCCCCAAAAGCAGCACTCTCTGCTGAACCATTACTGCTTTTCTCTGTCAACCGGTGAAGTTTCCTGGATACTGAGCAGGGGATCAGTTTAAACCTACAGGGGTTAGTAGCCTAAATAAAAAAAAACCCTGTCCCAAATTTCCTGAAATCTTCATGCAGGACACTGAATCAGGACAGTCCACCACCCAACCATGTTCACTAGAGGTGTGTGCAGTGCTCACCAAACGTTCACTTGGCATCTGCTGGTGCCACGGATCTCTTTTTCAAGAAAAGGAAAACATGCAATGCTAAGGAAAAATTAAATGCTGTAGAGGGAACAGGAGCAGCCATTGCTTACTGAAGGCAATGGAAAGTCATCCACTGTTTTCAGTGGGTCCTGAAAAACTAGTTTTAGAATATCTGGGTTCATGGTCACTATAAAATAAGGTATTATTTGTAAGGGCAATCAAGCAAATATGTGCTAAGAAAACTCCACAGTAAAACCCAGAAGAGATGGTACAGTGATAGAAAAAGCAGTCCTTCATTTTTGAAAGCAGAGAGCAGTGCTCCTGAGGCTGGATGCAAAGCCCATTACATTCACGAGAGGCTTTGGCTGCCTTCACTGGGCTTTGCAGTAGCCTGACAGTATCCTGAATCACAGGAGTTCGATGGGCTGCACCCCCGGGCCAAAACAGTACTGCCACAAAACAAACAAAACCAGGATCACACCACCCCGACCTCCCCCACAGCCAGCTCTTAGCCCACTGCATGGAATGCAGCTCCTTAGTGACTCCTGCTAGTCGTCATGTGCCCTAAAATAAACAGGATAAATTTTATATTCTCGTTTCATTTTGTGAGAAGACAACCTGCTTTCAAATGAAACAGCTCTTCCACTACTGTTCCCAGAATGACACAGCCACACTTGAGGTGGCTGTGTGGAAATTGGGGCTGTGCTGGAGCATCACATGCTCTGTAGGATAAGGTGACCTGGTCATAACTGCCTGGGTTAAGCTAAGGTGTTTGGGTTAGTTCTAAGACTCCCATCCTGTGTCTATTCCACACTTGGATTGAGCACCTGGAAGAAGGGTCTGTAATGGACAGTGGGAAGTGAGGTGTGCTGGTGCCAAGGGGTAAAGTGCACATTCAGCCTTAGGGAGTCTGGGCACCTCTTGTCAGGCAGGGGCAATAAAAGGAATTTGTTGTGCTGTAACAAGTAGAGGGGATAAAAAGGGTCTTCTGTAGGCAAGAGAAATTCACTGCTGTCCACTAGTGACAGTGCTGGGAAGGGACACCTTGTGTGACCCCCACTCCATGTGCTGCCCACAGCACAGCTGGGCACCACCAGCACAGCCTGACCTGCTCTGCTCCTCTTATGGGCCATGTGGCCTTTCTGCACTCAGGGACTGGGGAATCCTGAAGGAATCTGGCAGCACTTTTAGGGAGGGAAGAGGATTTCCCCAAACCAGGAACAAAGAATGAGTGGCTCACAGCACGGGGGTCCAGTTCTCCAAAGCCTGTGCTTGGGCAGGGTCTCACACTCGATGCACCTCCAAGCCCACAACCTTCTTTCAGGTTTTATACATTGTTTGGAGAGCTGTGTGTCTGTGACAGGACTGGAAGCGATGCCCAGCTCTGGACTATCTGCACTGAATGCTCAGGATGCCCAGGTAATACTGACATAGGTAGGTCCACCCTTGCACTGTAGATATAAAATCCTACCCTGATGATTTGCAAAAGTTTAGTATGAAATATGAAGTAGAAGAGTTCAACCCACAAGGGACCTTGCCAGGAAGGTGCCACAGGAACTGCAAGAAAACATTTCCATGCTGTTAGTTGTGAT